GCTGGAGTGACCTCTCCAGGGCACGAAGCCTGGGTAAAATAATATGGAGGATAGGCTGTTACCCAAGCAGAAAATCCCCCCTCTCCATGTGACTTATATAGTCAGTACAGGTGATAAAAAAACAGTGATTTTCATACTGAATGGTAGACCAAAAGGATTCTCAATAAAACCATCATATAATAGGGAAAAAACTTTGCTGAATGGCAGGCATTCTATTATTGCATCATTCTCCTTGCATTTAAAGTAGGAAGTTATTAAAAGTGACAAAAAAATCTTTGTAGACTCAGCCTGGTTTCCTGTTGCCTTGGTTTTACTAGGCTGTGGAAAGGAAACTTCTGAGCCCAAGGGAGAGTCGCTGAGAGTAGAAGGCAGGTGTCTCTTAGTGTGCATCTACATGAGCAAAAATTCTCTGATTTTTCACACTTTTGCCAGAGGTAGCATCTGTGGTGGTTGCTGGCAGTTCTCTTGAGAATTTAACTCTAAGCTTCCCCTTTACCAACAAAAATGTTTACAAGTATGATCCCAATTATACCAAGTGCTGTGGAAAGTTGTCCACACCTCATGGGGGTGGGGGCGCTCCAAAGGCCGTTGAAAACACGTCACAGGCTGCAGGCACAGTTGTTTACTCAGGCTCATCTCTCTTCTTCCAAAGGCAATGTAGAACACCACCACTAGGAATGGGTATGTTTTAATTTAAAAATAAAACAAAGAAAATTTGACAGAATGTATAATTTTGAAAAGAGGCCACCTTTGGCTGTTAAGTCCAAACATTTTGTACAAAAGGAACACTCTTGATGCTTGGATACAAGAATGCTGCCTTTTTTCCAGCTCACACTTGTGTCTTCTAGGTTGATAGCATTCCTTGTGAAAATAACTGGTTTTATTTTATTCCGTGCCCTTAATTTCACTTCAAAATGGACTTGAGCCAGGTTCCCTCTTAGGTGCACACCTGCATGCTCACATGTGACTCCGCCTCCTTCCACATAGCTTTCTTCCTCCTCTGCACAGCGATCGTTCTCAGTCCCTTTCGTTCTGGTCACAACAGAACCCAGAGGGTACGTTGGACTTGAGATTGGTTGTAATGTTCCCTGAAGTTCCATGAAAGCTACTTTGGGGGTACTTAGAATGGGGATATGATCACACTCTTCAAATATCTGAAAGGCTTTTCTACTTCGGGGGTACTTAGAATGGGGATATGATCACACTCTTCAAATACTTGAAAGGTTTTTCTCCAGAGGAAGGGCAGGATCTGTTCTAAATTATTCCAAAGTGCAGGACCTGTAATAATGGGCTCAAGTTACAGAAATATCAGAAACAATTATTTAACTGTTAGAGCTATATGACAATGAATCCAACTGCCTTGGGAGATAGAGTGCTTCAACACCGGAGACATTCAAGAGAAGGTTAGACAGCCATCTGTCAGATATACTTTTGTTTGGATTCCTGCGTTGAGCAGAGGATTTGATTCAATTGCCTCTTCCAACTTTGTTATTCTATGATTCTGTATACTTTTATACATATGATACGTTGACACCGGGGGTACAGCTGAGAGGTCTTTTGGTACACAAGGCTCTGGGCAGCTACACAAATAGTGTCAAGTGATATTACAGCTGTTAACATTCACTGCACTGTGGGTGATCACGGAACAAAGGAAAGCTAATTGCCTTAGAGAAAGAACAAAGGAGTCAACAACGGATGTTCGAGCCAGCGGAGCCTACAGGCAACACCGCGAGAGCTCTTTTATTTACTTGGCATGACTACATAGTATGCTGTTAGAATTCAGATAGGATACTAGTTACTTAATTGTAACCAGGATTGGCTGAAATAACCCTTTGATCTTATGCTCTACCTCTAAGCGAAAGAGCAAAAGAAGGGGTACCCCACCTGCTGGCAGCTATTGCTTCCTGCCAAGAGTGTATGCATGTCACTGGAACAGAATGCAGCTACAACCTTTAAGCAGAGGTTTCCCACACTGAACCTCTTACGCATTGAAAATGCCTGATTCCTGCCAACATGCTTATTCCAGGAGGAAGCAAGATGTAGCTCTGGTACTATGTGTGGCTTCCTGCAGTCCCTGGCCCTTAAGACACCAGGGGAAACAAGTACAAAGACCTTGCAGTGACACATATTTAATCCTATCAATTCATCTGAGATTTTCCAGGATTCTATATTTTTTTCTGCTGCTGCTGAAATTCTCTCTAAACCAGGGCTGGGAAAAGTTGTTGGAGAACTGTAACTCTCTGCATTTCTTGCTGTTGGCTGTGCTGCAGCAACTGCTGAAGAGGTACTTAGAATTTTTTTTCTAGAGGGGTCTATTGCACTTTTTGGCACAATAGGAGAGAATTTTAAGTACCTTACCTAATTATACATCTCAAGATTGCTTAAGAGAGACCCATAGTAGTTGAAGTGGTATCATACTGATGTAACCATGTGGTGCAGGTGCATGGGTACAACTACGGAAGCCTGTCCAGATCTTATACAATTGCAAATCTAAACTGTACATTCAATGAGCAGCCACAGACAATCCTTGCTTTCACATATGCATATTTGTGAAGAAGTATTTACACATTCACATGCGGTAGTAATAGGAATACCCATTAAAAGGATAATTGTTTTATAATACTACTGTTGTGCAATTGTACAATACTAATTGCTGCTTTTGTCTCTCATTCATATTTCAGTTTTGTTTTCAGTTGCTTTTTGGCATTGGGCTAAACATGGCATGGGATGCTGATAAATAATGAGTGGTAGAGGCCCTTAGTCTTGTACAAAATGTCGTTATATGTTTAGGTTTAGCTGGTTGGATGTGATATAAGTTGTTGCTTTTAAGACCTGATTTATTAATGGAAACTTTTTTCCTCTGAAAACAGAAATTATTGGCTGAAATCCTATTGTCTTGTTACCCATAAGGAAGACTAACATTCAGTTGACAGCAGAGTGCAGTTAATGAGTTACTGCTGGGATTCATGGGGATGCATACATCTCCTGGCTTGAGGTATGCTCTAGAATCTCAGGAGGGACTTGTTAATTGCCATCTAGAAGTGACAGAATGTTATGCTGTTTGCCTTCCATGCATATATCAAAGCAATAGGATATCAGCCATTACATTTTTTTAAAAAAATCTCAATTTTTATGATCATTAGTATGCTCTGTGCAGATGTTCATCTCTATCTGGTGGAGTCAGGGAACATAATGGCAGTGTCTAGCCCTTCATGGTGACCAATTCTAAATGCAGAACAGAAGGTCTGTATAAAGTTTTGTGCACATAGACCCTAAGGTGTCTAGGCATAATCTTCAGAATCTTCATAGTAGAGACTATTGTGGACTACCAGTCATATGGTTCAGTGCAAAGTTCCCCATGCATGCCAGCTATCCAGTGTAAGGAAGTCTGGGCAAAGGGCAGAGCTGTTGATTGAATAAGGGAGGCAGTTATAGTCAACTGTTTAGTTTGTGACTTTCTGAGTACATTGTCTCAGAAATGTTACTATCTAACAATTCTTTTATATATCAGTTTTATTGTACTTTTATGTTGTTAGCCGCCTAGAGTGGTCCTGATCCTAAATAAAATAAAATAAAATAAAATAAAATAAAATAAATAAATAAATAAATAAATAAATAATGTACATTTCATATCCATTGCTTCCAATTTATTTATTTTTTTAGCTTTTTCCTATGTAATCAAGCTTTGAGAAAAAGTTGGTGATCTGATGTGACAGGCTCATATAATAGTCCAAGACTACATAGTCCTACAGTGAGGTCGAACCATGGCAAGCACTTCCCATACCATTAAAGGTTGATCAGGAGAGGCATGACGATTGTTAGTTTCCAGTTTGGACTATGTGGGATATTTTGCAGGGAATTTAATGAACAAAGGATTATTATTACGAACATGTGGTAGAAATTTGAACTAGAAGTCTTTCAGATGCCTATCTGTGCAATATTGTTCCTGATAAATCTTTTCAAGCTCTTTCTCAAATGTAAGGTAGATGTGGCTGAATATTCCTGTAAGAGGAGCTGAAGGGCAGGAGGGATCAGGACTGGAGGCAACAGGAGAATAGTCATGCTTGCTTTCATCCCTATTGTTTTTAGTCAGATGGAATACATCAAACAGAGAGAGACAAGTCAGGTGGTTGACAAGGCATAGCCTTTTTGTTTCACTTTGGGGAACAAGTTGTCTCCTGCTTTTGACTCAACCTTCATCCAGAAGTATGTAGACTGAAATGTTTTGGGAAGCTATGATGAATCATATTGGTAAATGAATTAAGTAACATTTTAATGCTATTTTATATGATTATTTTTAATATCAGTTTCTTGGAGATATCATACTATTAAAGAGTATTGAAATATAACAAACAGAAGGATAGATGAATAGATAGATAAACAGATAGTTTCCTGCTGTCATTAATTGTCATGAGCTGTGTGAAATTAATCTTAAATATTGTACTGTATTAAAATTATATTAATTAAAGGGAATTAAAGTATGTTAATTAAAAAGCGGTGTGTGGAAGACCAGGTCTATCTTGTGTTACTGTGACTGAAAAAAATATTCTCCAAGCAGCCACTCCATCCATACAAGTCTTTCACCCTTTGTTCCAGTTTAAAAGCACCCCCCCCCAAGTGCTGGAAAGGTTACATGGAGATTGTTAGGTACAACACTGTAGTTTAGTCATTGCTGTAGTTGAAGCATTACTGCAAACGAAAGTCAGTGCTTGCAAAAACACAATATGCCCTAAAAATTGTGAAATCTCAGGTGAGCGAGAGTATCAAGGTATGGTGTTTGCCTTGAAATTATTTATCCTTATCAGTGGAAGACAAGTACAAGCAGTAAATTTGCTCTGGATTGATAGCCCAACAGTTCATCTCTTTTGCTGGCATGACTGTGAATAATTTATAGACCTGTTATCCAAAACCATGGAGAGGCTCATTAGCATTTTAATGAAAACAATATAGGCATTGTACTAAATCTTTGCATTCTGTTTTTCTTTTTCTTCTTCCTCCAGTAAAACAGTTCTGCCTGGTGCTTTGAAAACAGCTGACAACACGGGATAATGTGCTGACTGGCGCTATGGGCAGGCGATATCCAGGGGCTCACTATCGTCAAAGCAATTCATGTATGTATGTATGCCAATCCTCTCTTTCCTTCCCCATTTAAAAAGCAAAACAGAACCTGTAGCTTCTGTTCGCTGGTTTCTGCCCACTGTCATTACACCATGAGTAATTATATGTTGACAGTATAATTTCAAACTTCTCTAGTGGGTGTTTAAAGGTAGAAATGAAGTTTTTCAAACATAATTTCTACAAATGGGGAGCAAAAGATTTGCTGTTTAGTATATGCTAATTTTACTGATTTAATTTCTCTACTATTTGAAATTGCTATGCTATTTTTTATGTGTGTGTCAAAATTTAGAAGCATTATAATTTAAACTGAAATAAAATACATGGCACCATAATGCAAAAGACTGACAAGGCATGCTGTGAGCCAGGTCAATGTACTTTCCAGGAGCTAATTGTTTCTGAGAAACTTCAAGACTCTGACTCTCCCTCCTTTTGTTTTGTTTTAAATTGGATTTCAACTAGACAAACAGGGGACTGTTGTCTGTAAGGTAGGAGATATGACTATCAGAAAATTCTGCTTCTACTAAGAAAGGGTCCCCCAATGTTGGAGGCTTTCACATATAGACTGAACACAAGGCATAATATCAGGGGATGGAAACCTGTGACTTTCCAGAATGTATGGGAGTCTAGTTATGGCATGGCCAGAGGTCAGAGTTGCTGGAATTCAGGCAACATGTGGAGGACTGTAGGTTCCCCTCTCTTGTTTTAGATCAGATCAACCATCTTGTACCCCTCAGTATGTTCTTTAACTGCAACTCTTATCTTCTCTAGCCAACAAAGTCATTGGGAGTTTAGTATCCAAATTTCTCTAGCTTTTTACAAATAGTTGCTCTATAAAACAGGACATTGATGGCATTACCTCAAGGTGTTTTGGTCCAGAGCAGCAGTATAAATTAACAATTAGAGGGAGCAGTATTTGAGAAAAGAACGCATGATGTTGTGTAGGGATCTGCCAATGACTGTTTCTTCCTGAGTTTTATGACCTCCTCAGGGCATGGCTAAGTCTGGACCCAAATGACTATCTATCCATTCTGCACATTTTCCTCTGATCTCACTGTTTACCATTAACATGCCAACTCAACCCCAATATTTTGTGTGTGTGTGTGTGTGTGTGTGTGTGTGTGTGTGAGAGAGAGAGAGAGAGAGAGAGAGAGAGAATTCATAATGTCACCTGTATAGCTAAATGGGGACAGATTAAGCACAGTGATTATAGGAAGCTGGCCACATTCAACAATTACTATTCCAAACTAATGAGTGAAAGACAGTGGGCAGTACAATGAGATCCCCTTATCAGTGAAAGGAGGAGAGATAAGGCAGGTGCTGCAAACTGAATGCCAAGTTTATGTAGATGAGGTCTGCAGCTAATTTATATTTCATGCTGATTAATAAGTGACATCTAATGAGAATTATTCACTCCCCCCACCCTTACAGTACCTTATCAGTAGCCACAAATAACAAGCCATTCTGTTTTGCATTCAGGTTGTATCTTTTCATAAAATTTTCAGCAGCCTATGACTTACTAAATAAAGCTGTCACTCAAACCTCATTTCCTCTCTGAACACAAGGAATCAAAATGGACACTGAATTAATGCTGCATATTGTCTTTGTTTGATGAGGCCTCCACATGATCTTTGTTCTGTCACCTTTAATGCACTCCGCTTGAAGGACTTGCTCTCTGATATCAGATGCACAAAGAGCTGAATATTACAAAGCTGTTGCTCTGGCCTCATCTAATTTGTGTCTTTGAAACCTTTTTGCAGGTATGGGAAAGAGTATGTGCTTGCTTGTTTCAAAGGATATTTCTGCACTTCTCATGTTCCAGTGGCAAAATCTGAATAGGATGCTTATTTTTAAATAACTAAATTGGGTCGGCAGGACACATTTATATTCTTTATTCGCATTACTGCAAACGAAAGTCAGTGCTTGCAGAAACACAATATGCCCTAAAAATTGTGAAATCTCAGGTGAGCGAGAGTATCAAGGTATGGTGTTTGCCTTGAAATTATTTATCCTTATCAGTGGAAGACAAGTACAAGCAGTAAATTTGCTCTGGATTGATAGCCCAACAGTTCATCTCTGTTGCTGGCATGACTGTGAATAATTTATAGACCTGTTATCCAAAACCATGGAGAGGCTCATTAGCATTTTAATGAAAACAATATAGGCATTGTACTAAATCTTTGCATTCTGTTTTTCTTTTTCTTCTTCCTCCAGTAAAACAGTTCTGCCTGGTGCTTTGAAAACAGCTGACAACACGGGATAATGTGCTGACTGGCGCTATGGGCAGGCGATATCCAGGGGCTCACTATCGTCAAAGCAATTCATGTATGTATGTATGCCAATCCTCTCTTTCCTTCCCCATTTAAAAAGCAAAACAGAACCTGTAGCTTCTGTTCGCTGGTTTCTGCCCACTGTCATTACACCATGAGTAATTATATGTTGACAGTATAATTTCAAACTTCTCTAGTGGGTGTTTAAAGGTAGAAATGAAGTTTTTCAAACATAATTTCTACAAATGGGGAGCAAAAGATTTGCTGTTTAGTATATGCTAATTTTACTGCTTTAATTTCTCAACTATTTGAAATTGCTATGCTATTTTTTATGTGTGTCTCAAATTTTGGAAGCATTATAATTTAAACAGAAATAAAATACATGGCACCATAATGCAAAAGACTGACAAGGCATGCTGTGAGCCAGGTCAATGTACTTTCCAGGAGCTAATTGTTTCTGAGAAACTTCAAGACTCTGACTCTCCCTCCTTTGGTTTTGTTTTGTTTTAAATTGGATTTCAATTAGACAAATAGGGGACTGTTGTCTGTAAGGTAGGAGATATGACTATCAGAAAATTCTGCTTCTACTAAGAAAGTGCCCCCCAATGTTGGAGGCTTTCACATATAGACTCAACACAAGGCATAATATCAGGGGATGGAAACTTGTGACTTTCCAGAATGTATGGGAGTCTAGTTATGGCATGGCCAGAGGTCAGAGTTGCTGGAATTCAGGCAACATGTGGAGGACTGTAGGTTCCCCTCTCTTGTTTTAGATCAGATCAACCATCTTGTACCCCTCAGTATGTTCTTTAACTGCAACTCTTATCTTCTCTAGCCAACAAAGTCATTGGGAGTTTAGTATCCAAATTTCTCTAGCTTTTTACAAATAGTTGCTCTATAAAACATTTGTTAGGATTGCTTTGAACACTTTTTGGTTAGATATAGCTAGATATATCCTAAAATACCCATACAAACATCTCCCTAGTCCTGGTGATGCTTAGTAAAATTGCATAAGCGAATAAGCATTCTGTTGGCAAAATGGTGAAAATCTGGTGTATTTATGGAGTTATTTTTCCTCACAAATGCTAAAAGCAAGTTAAATTGTTAAGAGGGAGGGAAAGAAATTATATGTTCTTCAACGTGGTTCTCCATGAATCCACACTAGTGGGTTTAGACAGCGCCTGCGCTGGCCTCTCGGAATTTTCTAGAGCTGTAAGAGAAAAGTAACAATGTTTTAGGCTACCCTATACTGTGTGTGTGTGTGTGTGTGTGTGTGTGTATGTATGTATGTATGTATGTATGTATGTATGTATGTATGTATGTATGTATGTATTTGTAACTTTAGTGTGTGTGTGTAATCTCAGGTAGTGCACTGTGGCCCATAAAAGCTCATATTACTTTCGTCTTCTAGATATTTCACTATTTTTCTGTGCCAGACTAATATGGCTTACTTGCCCCACACCCCATAGTAGACATTTGAAGTGTTCTCTTTGGTTTTCTGTACTTAGATGGGAGATCAGGATTAATGGTGCAAAGTTGTACAGGTACGGTACCATAGTTTGGATGTGTATGGTATGTTGAACAAATGGATCTGAGACTTCTCCCATAAGGATGTCTTCCATTTAGCTACTACTTTCTGGTGCAAGTTCAGTTTTGCTGATTTCCTTTGTCTTCCTTGCTTTAAAAAACCTTGCTTGACCTTGCTTTGCTTCTCTCCCACTAAGGATAGTTTTTTTTTCCATGGGGAAAGCGGAGACTTAAGCACCTCTTTAAAGTTTGTAACTTGTCTCTTTAATCTTTCTGAAATAGCAGCTGACAAGTGACTGTCCCTGTGGCTACTGTCAGTGATAATCTGTGAGTCTTCAGGTTGACTCTTGTTCACAGCATGTCAAATGATCTTCTCAGAAGACAGTACTTGACCTTCCTACATGCATAACCTCAGATTATTGTATTTCAATGCTATCTATAATTTCCTGGTCATTTTTTCATTTACTGTATGGTATTCTGAACAGAACATTTTGGATAATAGTTTTCTTTTGTAGTACATTTGCAATGTACTTTAATAGTCCATCTGCTGCTGCTGCTTTTGTTGTTGCAGTGCTACTTTCTTTGTTCTAAAAAACTGTGTCTGGCTTTTTTTTTTTTTGCCTTCCATACACATTCCTTTGTACACCCACATATACATAGATGCCTTTTGCTTGTCTCAGACTGTGGAGATTTGCCTGTTTGTTTGTTTTTTTAGTTGTCCCAAGACTGTTACCAGGCTGAATTAAAATTATAACTTTTAGTGCATCAGTTTTGAGGCAAGAGATATAACCTGTCTATCTAATCTACCAGTATGTGTTTATTTTAAATAGTGTAACACAGATGACACAGAGCCTTCAGAAAATTTATAGCTCCCCAAGAATTTATATTGTGGTCTTTCTGAGGCAAGTGGAGGTTGGCTTTGTGGAACTGCTTAGAATTATTTTTCATATGATGTAGGCTGCAGTTCTAAAAGAAGCACCCTAGTGATCAAACCCTATTAAGCCTAGTAAGACTTCTTACTTCTTTTGCATTTGAACATGCAAAAGGCTGTATTGTGCAGCCCTTGGAATTGCTACCGAAGAAGGGAGCTGTAAGAGTCAAACAGCAAGGAAGGAGTTTGAAAATACCAAGTTAGATCATGTGGCATTTGTGAATCCCTGTAAAACCTCCACACCAGGCTTTTAGGTTTGCTCACTGAT